CCTGAAACACTGAAGCTTTTAAACTGTCATTGATTTCTGGGGACCTTCTCCAGCGGAAATAAACGTAACCTTTATGGGACACAGCATCATCTAAAGGAGTGCCGGGGACTCCTTGACCAGTGCAGAAGTGGCTGTTGAAAGGAGAGCCTGCTCCCTCTGGGGGTCTGAGTTGCAGTCTCTGCTTGTCCCCAGCACAGCTCCTCCCTTCAGAACAGCATATGGCCAGCCGTGCCATTTTGCTGGAATCCAACAGGAAAACCAAGTGTGTAAAGCTGAAGTCATTCCTTAATCCATGACTAGCTTCCCATCCTGTGAGCCTACTCCTTCTGCAGAGGCCCCCAGACTCCAGTACTACCTTACACAGAAGTTGGCAATGTGCATGCTCATTGTAGAGACCAGAGTGAGAGGTACTGCAGGAATCAGCCTTTCCAGAGACTGGAGGGCACACCCAGGGCAATGCCTCTGCTTCACTGGGCAGCCCAACTCTTCTGCTATCAGTCTTTTAATTTTTCTTTCTTTTTTTTTTTTTTTTTTGGCAGCAAGGGGAGGGGCAAAGTGGGACACCAGGCTTGAATTCCTACTTTTAAGTTACATTTAAGTCCTCTGTCTGTGCAGGTGGGGGCCTGAGGCTGTAGGTGGAGCAGTCATGCTGCTGTGTGGCTCAGCCAGTGGTCTCTGATGGGAAACGGTGAGAGGGAGAGCAGAGCTGCAAGGCAGTTATTCAAATACATCCTTTATAAACTGCTGCTCTTTTGGGATACATTAAGAACTGTATAACAGTACGAGTGTATTTGGTGGCTGCCTTATTGCCACGTGTTTGCTGATTCCAGACTCAAGGAACGGACGGTGCATGCTTCTGAAAGTCCCATGGTTGCAGTGGTCTCTGCACACTAGCTCTCATTGGTACTAGCAAAATAATTAATGCACATGGAGTAAAGATTTAAGTAAACTAAACTTGCCACTTGATAAAGCATCATTCTACCCCATAAATTAAAATCTAATTAGAAGTTAAGCAATTGCTGTTTAAAAATCTCTCCCCAACCCAAACTTGCCTGGGAACCAAGATTTAAGAAGCTTCAGCAGACAAAGTCTCTCGGTAACAGATGCTTCGCCGTTGGTCATCCAGATCAGTTGGAGCCCTTGGAGTCCTCCAAACCAGAACAGGATCTTTTCTGGAATTCAGAGCAGCTCAGCCATGCTCTCCCAGGGCAGCTGTGGTTTGCAGGGATGAGTGAAGGCAATAGCCCATGCCTAGTTCTCCAAGTACTCAGAAGGGTTGCTACTGTTGTTACTTAGCACCTCAAAAAAAAAAAAAAAAAAAAAACACCCACAAAACCCCCAAACAAAATAACCAAAGCCCAATTAAAAAGAAAAAGGTCTGTGCTGACTCAAAGTTAGCACCCTAAAAGTAGGTGCTGTGTTTAATGTTTCAGTTGTAGCTGCTGCTGCTGCAGGACTTGGTTATTCACTGTGTATCTTGCTAGCTTCATCCAAAGCTAGAAAGATTTATTACTTGATTATTCTGTGAATAATCTGTATATCTCCATAAATACAGGGAACAAAAATCCTGCATTAACATACACCCTCCATTATCTCTCCAGCTTTACAGAGACTGTAAGGAATGTGAATCAGTGCAAACTGAATTTAATGTGTTTTAAGACGTAGCATCATGAACTGGTATTTCGTACCACCCTTTCCATTCATGTTTTAAGTTTGTTGGTTTGGATTTTTTTTTAACTCAGATGAGTTAGCACTCTTTTCTTATTACAGCATTATATTAAATATATTCATGTATTTTCAGAAATAAATGTATTTATAATGTGTAACATACTGTATAGTTCTCTACTCCAGGCTGCATTGTAATACAAGCATAAGAAATTTAATAAAAGCATAAGAAATTTAATAAAAGCATCACTATTATGATAATTTTCCTCAGATTTTATTAATGAACACCTGGCTTGTAGTATAGCAACTGCCACACCTTTAGGGTTTCAGGTGAGCATAGTTGGTCAGGAAAAGAATTGTTACCTCCAAGCTTCTAAGGAACTTTTAACTCTGGCAAAGAAACAAGTTTGCTCTTTTGAAGCAGGTGCTGTTCTTAAAGATCTAGACGGCAAAGAGAGCCTTTGGAAAATTCAGATACAGCAAAGTGTAGGTGTTAACTTTGAGCAGCCCTGTATTAGGTGCTGTTGTTGGGCTTTGCTTCCAAAGCCCCAGAGTAGGCAGCCACAGACAGGCAGCACACACACCACTTCCAAGAAGAACCAGTGAAGGTACTACTAGGGACAAAGTGTGCTGATGGTCAGCACCAGGGTTTCTTTCCGTAAATCTGGGTTCAGTGGCAGCACTGCACAACAGCCTCAACTGACAGATGGCCTCAGGACTGCTTTTCCTCAGCTCCTTCGTTCCCAGCCAGCAGCACCCTCCTGGACAGAGCAGCTTTCCTTCACCTGCAGAAGTCTAAGCCACTGTCTACAGCACCTCACAACACCTTTAGTTCAAAAGTACAACTAGGTGGTTCCCAAATCTTCGTTTGTGAAGCCTAGCCATGAAATGAATGACAACCAGGTGGTACAGAGTGAAGCTAAAGAGGGTGCTGACACAAGAAGTCACATACAGGTACACAAAAGTCAATGAGATCCAACTAGAGAAAGTTGAGGCTTCAAAAAAAATAAGCCAGAAACACACCTGTGAAGGTAGAAGGAAAATAATACACTTTTGCAGAAGGAAAAAAAAAAAAAAAAAAAAAAATCGCATAGCAGGAGCCATAAGAGCCACTAACACCCCAGTGGAGTTGGAGAACAGGCAAGGAAGATGGGACCAATATACCAGAGGAGGAAATCTCCACATGGCCTACCTTTCACCCTGTGCCAGGGTTTCACAGGAACAGCTTGCACCCCTCTGCTGCTCCTGCCCTGTCCTCCTGACCACGTAGGAAGTCTTAAACACAGAAGACTTCCCAGAGTAGATAAGAGAATTAAGTTTACTTCTCTGCTTACCCACTTGGCACTGCATGCACCCTACACTAAGCAGCAGGTCCATTACAGTAAGACCCAGCTGTGCACCAGAAGGGACAGTCCCTGCAGGGAAATCTGTCCGATTCCCAGAGGCAATTGACCCAGGCTCCCTGCCACTGTGGGATGGTTCAGCAACACCATGGAGGGCAGCAGAGACTTGGCTCTCCTAGCCCCTTCAGCATCCACACAGGTATCCAAGCTTTTTAAGTAAGTATTTCTGTCTCCCTTACTGAGGGATAGGAAGGCTCCAGCAGCAGCCAGGGAGGCGTTTAAGTCTCCGCTTAAACACTCAATTAAGACCAGTGCCAGAGCACCCTGCCCGGTGGGCTGAAAAGGTGTGGTTTATACTACTCCTCTAATTGCCCAGTTAATTAACACTACAGACAGCTGCTAAAGACTTGTCATAAGGCACATTATGTTTATGCTCTGCTTTGCCAGACAGAGCTCCACCTGTACCAAGGTCATTTAATTGCTAGAGGCACTCCCTAAAGGAGGAGGCTGTTTGACCTATCTTCAACTGAAGATTGTTTCCAGCCTGTGATCTCCTTCACCCTCCCACCATACAACTCAAAACAGTCTTATCTTCTGATTAGTTTTAAAAGCAGCCAAGACTAAGTCACTCATTATCCGGAAAGTACTAGGGAAGAGCAGTTCTGTGAGAAAAATAAAAACATGATTCCTGAAGTTTCTTGGAGTAGGAAAGGAATTAAAAAGCAGATTCCAGCACCTTAACACCCTCTAATCACACAGCATGTAACCTAATTAAAAAGAACAATATCTGCTACCTCAACAAGCTACTGGCCAGTTCTTTGCTTCCATGTATAAGTGCTACTCTTCCCTTTTAGAGGCCCCAAAGCAGTACAATTAAGACTTCTCTCCTGCCTTAACAGGGGGAATTTCTGATCAAGACTGTGGGGGAAAAAAAGGGGAAAAGGGAAATATATTTTTCCTTCCTGTCAAGGAGTACCCCATTAGCTATTAGGGGATCTCTGTGTGAATGCAATCACCAGAGCTCCCCCAGGCTGGGCAGGAAGGAGAGAGGTGGAGCCCCTTTCCTCTTCTAGTGCCTGGAGAGTTCTGCTGTACTGCTTTCACCCAGGACCTCAGAAAGCTAAGAACAGTGCTGCCCAGCTGCTGTGACTGACAACACCACACTGAACTGCCCCAATGCTTAAAACAGTGAGTTTTATTTCTCATCTCAAAAAAAAAAAAAAAAGCATTCTCTGGCACTGTTGTGCCCACAGTGATGTCAAATAAGCTTTAATCCAAGAGCTTTGAAGACTCTTAACTGCCTGGTCTCCTGTGAAGGTTTGAGACTAATCTTTAAAGTTTGATTTTTTTTCCCCTGAAGTTCAAAGCACCTAGGCCCTTTGGGTATTTTTTTTCCCAGTTGGAATTATGTTTCCTTGCTCTCATTCCCCAGAAAAATCCCACTTGCTGCCTTCTATTTCTAGGGCAAGAAATGTAAGTTCACACATAAAGCATCAATAGAAAGATCCATTTGTACAGTGCTTTTGCATCCTTGCTTTCTAGTCCTGGCACATGAGGACAGCCCTGACTTACCTAGTGACTCAGCCAAGCAGGCAGTCTCCAGCTCCTCTGCACAGACACAATACCTGCTCTGCATTCCCAAAGGAGAAGTAGCTGCAGGATCCACTTTTAGTTAGTTTTGCTGCACTTCTACTCAGTGTTTGAAAGGACAGTAATTTTGAAGGCTACCTCAGTCACTGAGAGAAATGCAGACACCACCCAGCATCACTCCTGCCTCAGTCTGCAGACCAGGCCATGACAACGGCTCCCTCGTGTAACTGGTGGACAGTTAACACCAAACCCACAGCAAAAGAATTCCAGGAAGTGAGATGGATTCAGAGCACTTGGAAAGCTTTCACAGCCATTGGGATAATTTTTGCCTTGCAAACAGAGTCTTACAGCTATGGTCTCTAGGGGAAGCTGTACCACAGACCAAATGGTTTGACAGCCACTTTATTGCAATCCATTGATTTCATGTGTTGCTGACACCTTCCTTTGCCACAGCACAGCAGCTACAAGGACCATGCACAGAACTGCCCCGATTGCCACAGCAGCAAACCCCAGAGCCCATGGGGCTGCAGCATGCACAGCTGCTCCTGTGGAGGAGAAACAACCCAATTAATGCTCCCAGTGAAGCACAGAGATGCTTTAGGGGTGCAGTCTGTCTGCAGAAAAGCCTTAGACCAGCTCCCTTCCCCAGACTGGCTATGCTGGGCTGCCACACTTACCAAGGCCACCCTTAGCTGTGTCCCATCTTAGCTCATCCTGGAGGAAAATCACAGGGCCTTTGCTGGAGACATGGGAGGCACCTTCCTGAAAGTGATGCTCAGCACTCCTTTTACTCCCTACAGAACAATGTAAAGGTTGTAGGTGAGAAGATGTATAGCCCTGAAGGTCAGCTTCTCAACACACAAAAAGCTCTGAAGGCCAAAAGTTTCCATGTGACTCCATACAGAATTAGGAGCCTATGAAGACCTCTGCCTTTTTAGCATAAAAGCAAGGGCCTTTAGTCAGCGGAAAGGAGCAGGAAAAGCCTTGTCAAGCTGTCCGTGGCTCAAGGGAATTAGTCCATACTCTTTATGTCCCCTGCCCGTGCATCTTGGAGGCTAGAACCTTGTTGACCCTTTGGATAGGGAAGCAGAGGGGTAGGACACTTACTGGTTCTAGCAGGACAAGTGGAGGTGCAGGACTCCTGCACAGATCGGTGGCACACTGAAGCACTGCAGTGAAGGTACACCTAGAAAGAATGGAACACAGCCTGGAATCACTCAGGCAATGTCTATAGACAGGTGATAGCCTGCTGAGGTGCTTTGACCCCAGCCAGCAGCTAAGCATGCACACAGACACTTCCTCACTCCCCCTGCTCTGCCCCAGTAGGGCAGAGAGAAAATTGGAAGAGCAAAAGCAAGAAAACCTGTAGCTGGAGAGATAAAGACAGTTACCTAAGTGAAGGAGAGGAGAGAAAAGAACAAAACCAAAGCACAAGTGATGCAAAGGCAAATCACCCACTCTGCTCCTACAGGCAGACTGGTGCCCAGACAGTCAGAGCATCAGCTACACTGGAAGATGAAATCCCTCAGTGTTTATTGCTGGGCATGAAATCATCCAGCAGAGAGAGGAGAAAGAGCCTTGGTGCTATGCAAGCACTATTCAGCAAACAGTGAGAACATCAGAATATTTTCAACACAGTTTTAGCCACAAATCCAAAGACACAGCACCATGTGGACTGCTATGAGAAGAGTTAACTCCATATCAGCCAGACCCAGCACACCTGGTCACAGAAAGGAGAAGGCAGGAAGATCGGTTTGGCGTGTTTCACATCCAGGCTGTAGCCTTGGAGCCCTCTGCTGTCCACTGCAAGGCGGCTTCGGTACCTTTATCTTTACAGATTTCAGTGAAATCTGGCATTACAGCACTTCTCCCACCCACCTGGGATACAGCTGCCCGAGCACCACTACACTGCGACCAATGTTGGATACAGCTGAGACCTGTTTTGAGTATTAATTGGTTCCAGGAGCGCTGAGCAAACAGCACAAGGCATGGTGAACTTCATATGCCTTAACTGTGCAGAAGTTCATGATATTCAGAGCCCAGGTGCTTCACAGATACTCAAAGCTATTTCAAGTCATTTTGGCTAAGAAATTTGGTTTAGAGACTATTTATTAGCATAGCTAGAGCACACAATTTAAGCTAGTTCACCAGAACAGCTTAGGCAACAAAATAGCCTTTGCTCAAGTAAACTACTACCCTTCTAGTAGGCTCATTTTCTGTCACACCCCTCCAGAGATATATTTTACCTCTACCACATTCATCTCAGGGAATAAAGTTTGCATCAACTTATCCCCTTCTGTTTCAGGAGGGGATTTTCCTAGTCTTTGCTCCTGCCCCTGCCTTGCCCCTCCATCTCCCTCACAAGGAGGCCAAGCACTTCATAGTTATAAAGTGGTTCTTATTGCTCATGTTTTGCTTGTCCTCAATAGGAAGCTAGGCAGCCAGGACAGGATCTTACCAGCCCAGAGAGCTTCTCTTGGGAAGTGGAGTCCATAAAGGTGAACGTGTAGAGGGTGAAACGCTGGTAATGAGAGGGGAACAGTAGTCCTGAGGCAAAACTCAGAGGCACCAGTTGTGTCTGATAGTTGTCCCCTGCATAAGGGCACCTGAGGAGGAGAGGTGAGCAGTGAAAAAAGAGCAAGTTATTCCCCTGACCCAAAGTTGTTTACAAGTAACTTACCCATCCACCAAAACAGGCCACTGCAGCTGTTGCTGGGGATTGGTACTTGGTGTGGCCCAGCAGTGGTGCAGAACTAAAATCAGGTCTGGGTCTGTTCTCTGAAGGATTTTGACTTCTGCATAAACAGGATCTCTCAGAGTCTTCACAATAGGATAGTCACTGTCAGTATAGTAGGAAGTATAACTTCCATCTGGAACAGAAGAAACCCAAGAGCCATTTTAGAGTAGGAAGAAACAGGAAGAGGCATCCTGAGATCATCCTTTATAGCCATATCTGTAAGTTCCCACTATGGCTGGGAAATAGTGCTGGATTAACCTCCCTTATTACTCAGAGACCAGAGCCCAGAACCAAGAGGCTTGAGTAAGTCCTGCAAACCTCTCCTACCTGAGGCAACACGCAGCTCCAAGGACAGAGGACCTGGCTGGGACACAGCAGGGAGTGGTGGCAATGTGAAGACCTGAACACTCAAGGGAATGGTGCTCCCACTGGTGGAATAACTACATCGGACATGTAACCTGGTATGACAGGAAAGCTCCAAATCAGGTAGATAAGAAAAGTCACTCTGATATCTCCTTTCCCCAATATGGCAACAAAATATCTACTTTAATTAGTTATACTCCTAATATTCCTAATCTTTCTTCCAACACTTTCTTTTAAGAAATACTTGAGATTCTCTTTAGACTTCAGATTTGAAAGTCTCCAGACTGTCACTGATCAGCACCAGCTTTATTCCCACTAACTAGAGACATACCAGTCCTTAGCCTACTCCAGTGCCCTGTTGTGAATTCCGGGCTTGTGACAAGCAGGAATTTCTCCAGTAACATTGAACACAATGGCACCCAGCAACATCAGCCCCAGGGTAATACCTGAAAGTGCTATCCCTAGTGACAGAGCCAAGGCTTGCAGTCTTCACATCCCTGGATGCCACCAGCTCATTCTCATATATGGCCTGGTCTCCAGTCACCTAGAACAACAGACAGGCACCATCACTGTGGTAAAGTCAAGCTGGATCACTACGAGACTAGAGAACAGCACTTGGCCTCTGGAAGTCTATAGGATGTCCATTAAGTAGCCAAAGCCACATCAGGTTGGTTCCAGGTCTGCAAGCTTCTGCTATTCCAGCCTAGTGACAGCTGCACCTCTTACCTGAAAAGTGGTGCCACAGGCAGAGAGTGGGAACTGGTACACGACAAATGCGTTGTTTTTCACAGTAGGAACACAGCCAGTACTGTGTCCGCTGGCCAGTTGCACGGAGTCCAGGACAATGGGGGGCAGGGTCACATCCCGAGAAACAGCAATGGAAAACTGGCCATCTGGTGTGCAATGAGCTGTCACTAGAGGAAAAGATATAATCAGTCTTAAGCTCATGGAGAAGATGAATGGAAAGGAGACTCAAAACATCACAGCAAAGATGAGGCCAGCAAGTTTTGTGAGTTCTCCTGCCTTTAAGCCCTGAACCAATTGCTAAGCTTGGCAAGACAAGTGCAACCAGCTCTAACAGCAACATTGATTCTGGCCATAAACCCAGGTCTGTTGCAATACACTTGAAAAGGCTGGACACCTCAATAGAACATGGTATTCTTGACAGGCAAAAACAAAGCCCTAAGCCACCTGCAGGACTGATAATACAACAACTCTGCTCTGACAGCAAAGTGAGGAATCCTGTTTTGAAGCAACTCAGTAGGAGGGGAGGACAGCTGCTCAGGCTTACCTGTGTTACCAAAGTAGCAAGGATTTACCCTGTCTCTAGGGTCATAGCAGCAGCCTCGCACTTCACAGTTTCCCTGGCTGACAGGCAAGGAGGCACATGGCAGCCGGTCCTGGCTGGGAACAGCCAAACAGACACTACTGCTTGGAGCATCTAGGGCTGGAAAAAAACAGCAGGACTTTGCAGCTAAAGCACAAAAGAGGGGGACAAAGACAAAGGACTTTGGTGGAAGATGTCCTGGTGACTGCATAAAAATGAAGGGAAATTAGAGTCAGGTTAAACACATGGCCTGGAGGTGGCATGGAAGTCTGCTCAGAAGGGACATGCGTTTCCCTGGAACAGAGTCTCCCCCAGAAGCCACGTACAGGAGACTGGACTTGTATGAGATCTGTCAAGATAAAGTGTTTTGGATCAACTCTTGGTAGTTAGGAAAATCATTGTACCTAGTCTCTGGCTCAATCCCTGAACTTGCAGGGACCCAAGCAGTCAAAATATGGCTGGGAAACACAGTGAACATATTCACCTGCCGATCCTGCAAAGACGCAGAAGTTCCCAGCAAGTTGGTGGTTCCTATGTCCAAACCCTTTTCCAGGGAGTTTTCTGCAGAGCAGAAAATCCCCTTTCCTAGCCCCCAGACTGACTAGGAACAGCCAACTGAAAGGAATGGCACTCATCACCACAAGATACAAGCAACTGTCAGAATCTTACCAGGAAGGTCCACAGGGCACCTGAGCAGCGTCTCTTCATGAAGAACCTTTTGCCCAGCAGCATCTGTTCCTTCAAGCCCAACCAGCAGAAGGTAATGGCCATTCTAGGGGAAAGCCACACCAGTCAAGGCAGCCAGAGCAGCAGTAGTCACAGTCCCAGCAGAATCCATAAGGTCACTCACCCATTCAAAGATATAACAGCCAGTATAAGAAACCAATACTTTCCTGGAGCCATCTGGAGTCTCAGATACCAACAGCCCACAGTCAGAGTCATTCTGCAGAGCATGTGCCTTCCCCTCAGTATCTATGGAAAGAGAAGACAGCAGCAGTGGCTTTAACATCCTACATTACAGATAGGGTCCTCTACAATCCTACCTTTCTGTAGGAAACAAGGACCTAGCCAGTATTAGGGTCTGGACCAGGAGGGGTGCGTATGAGAGAATCCAGCAGCCAAGACCATCTAGATCCAGGCACAGTACTTCACCAAACCCCTTGACTACTGGGTCATATAAACAGCCCCCTGATTATACAAGGTGCACTGAAAGCTGTTCAGCAACACTTCACATCAAAACCTGTTCCTTCCTCCTCGTTCCAGGCATACCTCTGCAGTGTGCAAAGATATGGCTAAAAATGCCTCTTGACACTGCTCTCACTTACCCCAAGTAGTCAGCACCAATGAAGCATTCCCTTCCCAGCCCAGAGGTAAGGTGAGCTGTAAGCTTTCTTGGCCACAAATCAGCAGGGTGGGATCAGAAAAAACACTACGAGCCCCCATAACCAAAGCTAGGGGACCAAGAAACACCCAGAAAAGCATAGCACCCAATGCAACCCCAGACTGTACTACAACACCCATCCTGCTCTCTTGCTAAGGACCATGAAGTAACTGTCCTTAGCCTAGCCCTTTTAAATTGTGGAGCCAGCTGGGATCAGAAATCCCTGAAGTGTCCAGGTGGGCCCAGCCCAGCAGTTTTTAGCACCTGTCATTGCCCTCACCTGAACCCAACAGAGCCTGCTCGCACCCTTTGAAGAAAACCATAGAGCAAGAGCTGAGCGTATGTCAAGAGATGGGTCTGTATTCATACTGTAGAGCCCCAGCAGGGTCTTCAAATCCTTTTTGTCACTCTGAGGTCTTCCAATGGCCGAGACATGCAGGATATCTGGCTGCTTTTCCCCAGGTGCCCTATTGCTGCTCTAATTGCTCATTACAAGGCATGAGTGCCAGAAACTGAGTGACAGTGCTCTTTTGCTCTTTTATTCTTTTAAAGCTGACACTACCTCAAATGCCAGACATAGGGTGCTGACATGAAAGCACAGAAATAGCCCTTCACATGAAATCTGTGGGAAACTATGGAGCTCAGGAGGCTTTGCACACCTAAAAGGTGGTGATTCCCGTTAAACACTCTTGGCTATGGACTTACAGCCCTGTTTGCAGTGTGGTTGTGCAGGGATAAGCTGCAGGACTGGTCTAGGCCTGGCTGGCAGGTGGCAGGACTGTATTCTCTGTTGGACCCCCACTCCCAAAAACTTACAAGGGGTCCTTTAGATGGGCTTGAAACACACATAAGGGGAGCCTCTGTGATCCCTGAGAAAACTGTGCCCTTCCAGCACCCTTTGCCTGCCTGTAACTGCAATGTGTCTCATGTAGAGCCTTCTCCCTAGCCATGCACCAGGCAGCCACACGCCTCATTGTCCATCTTTCCATACAGATGTTTCTGCATTCATGCAATGGAGGTGTGAATGTTTTTACACTGTTGCAGAGGTGATGCACACATTTGTGTTTGTGCATGCCTTTTTGTGCCCTACGTTCTACAGTGGGAGTGCTGGCATAGCCTGAGCCATCCATGTTCTTTTGTAGTCTGCTTATTTCTTTGGGAGTCGATCAACACACACATATCACAGCATGGTATGTGCGTTAGATGCGTGGGATTTCTAATCTTGACCCTTAATAATGCACTTCCATTGGTAGCCACTCATGCTTCTGCCCCCATCAGACCCTCCAGCTCCTGGATGTCTGCACAGCACTATGCAGCAGTCAGCCACTTGTCCCTCCAGCCAGTCCTCACCACAGGAAGGGTGGATAGTAGCTGAGTCTGAGGGAGCCATTTCCTCTGCTCTTTCACCTCAGCCCACAGCCCATCTTTGGTCCACAGGTATACAGCCTGCCATGATCCCAGCTGGGTGAAGAACATCACTGTGCCTACCCTGCACATTGCTAATTTCATGCACCAGTCAGGATGGCTGTTCCACAAAGTAAAAGACCTTTTGAGCTGCTTTGCACAGCAGGAACCCAAGCAAATGTATCTCGACGGGCTGTGGTTTGAGCAGCACACGTGAACCAAGTGTGCTCACCACAGTTCCTGCCTGGGCACTGGGCAGTGACGTTGAGGAGGCACCCAGGGAAAACATTTGGACTTTGGCAGGGGGGGAGGCTTCATCTCTGTAGAAGCTGAGTCTTATGCTTGCTCAGATCACACTGCCACTGCTTGACTGCTGAATGATTCATTTGACTGCATTACCTGCTGATAATTAAGTAAAAAATAACACACAAAGTACTTTGGAGCTATAGGGACGTAGCTTTAATTACACTTTAACACATCAATATTTTGTTTATGCCGACAGGAAAAATGTCTACATGGAGATGAAGAATAATTCTACATGAAACAACCCTGAGAGTGCTGTAGATCCACCAAGCAATACCTGTGCTGAGAACAGTTTCAGGTAACTGCCCTTTCCTAATACCTACACACACACTGGACAGGGATAAGAGGCACTTGAAATGAGCCTGAAATTCATGGAAATGAAATGCTTTGTTTGGAAGAAGTTGTTATAGAAAGTGGGAAGCAGCCTGGCTGAGATAAAACAGGCAGGTTTCTCTTCCTCACAAATCTTTTCCTCACCCATTTGATAGTTCTTGTGCATTACAGTAACCCAACTGTAAGCACCAGTTTAGACAGCACCCAAGACCACCACAAACAGGACACGGAGAGGATGAAGACAGGTGAAGCAAATGTCTCTGTGGTCCACTAGCCTGAAGCTGATCAATGAGGGTCATGGGAACAAGGGAACTTTACAGGCAACGTGGAAAGTTCATGATTGCTGTTAGCTGGCAGCTACCTCATATAGCAGTGCAAACTCTCATGAACTTTACTTTCATCAGGTGAAAGTCCATAAAGCTACATGAACTTCCATGAACTGCCCTGACATCTGAGCTGATGCAGGAATTTAGGCCAGCAGATAAGCACCTAGCCAAAAGTTTTTGGTAATTCAGTTTTCCCACTAAAATATCTAGTGTGGGTCTTTAAGAAATAAAATGAGATTTAAAAAGAACAATTAGCAAATTATTGCACCTATGCAAGAGAGCGAGGGTGACTTAAGAACTCATAGGGAAGGGAAGGTACAGAAACTTTTGCAAGGGATGTAGACCTTTACTAGCACATCTGAGTGAAAGGGGAAACTCACATTAACACACGGACTTACAGCAAACCCAGCACAGTCCAATTAAGCACTCAGTTGACCCAGGCGTCTTGCTAATTCCTGCCAAGTCCTACATCCCCTATTCTTGCAACACCTGATCAGTTGGATCTGTCTGCCTGCAAAAGTGTCACAGTTCAGGAGAGACAGAGGGATAAGGCCAGACTGAGTAAGCTGAGAACAACCTTGAGGGTCCTTTCCCAGGCATGCTCTGCTGTTTCTCAGAGCACCTATGGACCTTCCAGGGCAGCACTTCCTCATAGTGGAGTCAGACATAACAAAACAAGAACTTGTGCATGCCAGCTTCCAGCAGTAGTTAGGGTGAGCTTCTTTGGTCATTACAAGTGCAAGGACTAGTTGCCAGGTTGCACTAACCTATACGCAGCCTCTGCTCTGTCACAATTTGGGAAGCCATTCCCCAGAGACCCTCTCAAGTTCTTGATTTCTCTTCTCTGCCTGCTTTTCTCAATTGTTTTCTCCTCTAGAGAAAACTCCTCTCCTTGAAGAGGTCAGAGTCCCAAGGTCTCATCCACTTTTCTTGTGTCTTTATTTTATCTCACCCAGCAAGTTCTTTCTTGTCTACTGTGATGTCTGGAGACCTTTCTGCCCATGCTAGATGGATATTTTATACTTTCCTCTCTTGTGAGGCCACACACCCCTAGGGAGAGAGACTGAGGCATTTAATTGCTGTGCACTGAGGAGAACACGTCTGTATGTCCTTTGGCACATCACATGCAGTGCAAACTCTACCGATGTCAGGAAGATTTCAGGTACAATCAAGGATGGCTCACATCACTGAGAGTTTGCACAATTGATACTGAAGAATTAAAATTCTAAATGGCATTGAAGATGCTCCCGTGAGAGGGAATTACTGTGAGCGCCGCAGTACGAGAGTGCACCCTTGGTGTGATCTCTTTAACAATTAACTGTAGGGTAAACAAAACAAGATTTTTGAGCACATTATAAATTTCTTAAACTCTGTTGGCCTCTGCAGTTGTTTGAGATAAGGCGTGTCTTCAATGACCAATTAAGAGCAATGAAAGTCTTAGTTTCATAACACAGGGCAGTGTAACAAATGACTGACCAGTAACACTGACTGACTCAGCCATGTGACCCAAAACCTGCTCTTGAGCTAACAAAGCCCTTCAGTATATAACTTGGACACTGGCAGCCAGAGTCACCCTCTCCTGAACTGCAGAGCAAATGGAGCTTCTGGGAGCAGCCACTGTTGTCCTTCTGATTTGCATTGCTTGCCTGCTCTCCTTTGCATCATGGAAAGGGAAGTCTGGAAAGGGGAAGATGCCTCCAGGACCAACTCCTCTTCCCATTCTAGGTAACTTGCTGCAAGTGAAACCAAGTAACTTGGCCAAAACCCTCCAGAAGGTAAGGCCACTTTCTTTTTCTCTCTTTCTTCTGTGGCTGAGAAATGTGTGGCACCTGCACATGGGAACAACCTCTGGCTATAGCTTGATGAATTGCAATCCCAGAGGAGCAGCAGAGTCTTGAGGATTGCAGCTGCTCCCCCTTGTTGCTGTTGCCCTTGTTGTTCAGGGCCAGATAACTGGGACTCCTCTCCATAGCCACATTTATCATGAGAGGACCAAATCTTGATGTTGCTGGTGTGTGAGGCTCACTGCCTGCAGTGGGATGCAGCAGCAAGGAGACTTTTCAACTTTTTTTTCCTATTTGCTACATGGTTGTGTTCTCTCTTGCATTTTTACAGCTTAGTGTAGAGTATGGACCGGTGTTCACAGTGCACCTGGGCTCTGAACCAGTGGTGGTGCTGCACGGACATGATGCAGTGAAAGAAGCTTTGGTTGATCGTGCGGATGAGTTTGCTGCCAGAGGACACATGCCAATAGGAGACAGGGCCAACAATGGATTAGGTATGTTTGCTGACTAACCTCCTTCTGAGAAGGGAAGGGCTGTGAGGGTGTGTTCAGCAGATTAGAGCTGGAATGTACCATGCACGAGGGAAGACTGCAGAGTGTGGGTGCATCCCACCTGGAGAAGGGAAGGCAAAGTGGGCTGTAATTCCTTGCTTCCACCACCCAAAGGGGGAGAGGTAGCAGAGAAGTGGAGCAGAGAAGTTGTTCTCAGAGATGGGCTGGGAAGCGGCAACAGCCACCAGCTGCAGCAAGGGAAATTGTGAGTGGATATGAGTGATCAATTATTCACAAGGAGGTTGGGTATGTAGTGGAGAAGGCCAGAAGCAGACACTTGGACTACAGAACCTCCAGAGATTGCCTCCAAACCACAGGACTCTGTGACACTACCATGTCAGTGCTCTCCAGGGATAGGATTCTCTGTCACTGTAAGCCACTGTTCATCCCACACCCAGCATGCCCAAGCCCGGTCTTCCCTCTTCCTTCTTCCTCTGCA